TAGGTACAGTGCAGATGAGTTCAGTTAGTTTAAATATGATAATGAAGCTTGAACAGTGCATGGCTTCATTTTGACAGTTTTTCATTGGTCCTTATTTAGAAGGCCGATGACCTGGGGGCAGAAGCTGTTTAAGTGACGGTTTGTCCTTGGGCTCAGGGCTGTTATTCTTTGCTTTCACTGGGATGGAAGATGCTGGAAAAGGGAGTGGCCAGGATGCAGAGGGTCAGACATTATTTTTTTGGCTCTGTTCTTCATCCGAGATGAGTACAGTCCTTCTAGAGGGGGGACCTGACAGCCCATGATCTTCTCCGCACGTCGCATTATACGCTGTAGTCTCCTCTTAGAGTGCGATGTAGCAGAGCCAAACCAGACACAGATGGAGGACGTAATAACTGATCCTACTGCAGCCGTGTAGAGCTTCTGCAGCAGCTTAAATTTCTTTAGCTGACGCAAGAAGTATAGGCGCTGTTGGGCCTTCTTAGTGATGGAGCTGATATTTGTGTCCTATTTGAGGTCTTGTTGGATGGTGGTGCCCAGAAATTTGACGGTCTCAGCTCTGTTAACAGTAGTGTTTCGTATGACCGAGGTGGTGCTGGGGGATTTTTCCGGAAGTCAGTGATCATTTCCGCCGTTTTTTTGTGTGTTCAAGTCAGATACTTTAACATATATTCTTAACATATATATTCTTGCGACTGCGAGACTTCAGACGAGGCTCCCAGATGCTTTCATCCTCATCTCAGGCAACTTCAATCACGTCTCCCTGAACAGGACACACAGCACCTCCACACGGTTTGTGCACCGTCCAACCAGGGAAAACAAGACACTGGACTGTATGTGAGTGTTAAAGAGGCATATAGCTGTACAGCCTTTCCCCTCCTGGGCAGATCCGATCACAACCTGGTTTATTTACTACCCACATGTCTACCACTAGTGAGAAGGCAGCCGGCCACGGTCAGTGAGAGACAAGGGACAAAGGAGACCAGAGCAGCCCTGCAGGACTGTTTGGAGACTACAGACTGGGAGGCTCTGTGAGCCGCATGGCGAGGACAGCGACAGTAGAGCTGAAGATCTTTGCCAGAACCCGACGGAACCTGACAGGACCTGAGGGGTTCGGTTGGGTTCGGGCTTAATTTCTATCACTTTACACGGGCTTGCGCTCCGGCTTGTGCGGTAAATGAACAGTCAGGTGATGCGTTTCGATCAGCGCGAGAAAGATGTGAAAATGGATGCTGAGGAGGTGAACCAGAGGCTAGCCTCTGGCGATTACGTTTTGGTTGCACCGGCAGCGAAAGCAAAGTCTGAGGTGTGAAAGTTTTGACCGTGTGCATGATGAGAATAATGAGCCAGTGGGTTATGTGAAACGCAAAAGATCCGACATTCTGTTAAAGTACGACAGCAACACGACGGGGAATTCGTCACTGATAAGGCATGTTGGTCGAAGCTGTTCAACACCTGCCAGTGTCCAGGATCAACCTACAATCAAATCTTTGTTACGGCATCAAAACCCAAAAAGGTGAAACAAACGGCAACAGAGAAGCGTGTCAGCTTTTGCTGAAAAGACATTAGACCTTTTAATATCATAAATGGCGGGGGGTTTGAAGGGCTGGCACAAGAGGGCAGTGGTGGCTTAATGGTTAGGGACACGCACTAGTCATTGAAAGATTGCAGGTTGAGCAGCAAGGCACCACTGAGGTACCCTGAGCAAGGTACCGCCCCCAAGCACTGCTCCCTGGGTGCTGAATTAGCTGCCCCCTGCTATGTCACGATGTCACATATGGATTAAATGCAGAGGACACATTTTGTTGTTGTGCACTATGTGCTGTGGTGTGTCAACAATGACAGTTAATCACTAAATTCAAGAACTAATTAATGTCGGGGCCGCGTATGGGAGGGTTCCCGTAAGCTCTATTATTCCCCGCCATGTGACAATTGCGAAGAGAGAATAATGGCAGAAGAAAAGAGGGCAGCTTTAGTACAGAAACGTAAGACTTTGCTGAAGGATGAACAGTGACAATGACCACAGACATGTGGACAGAGGATTATGGGAAAGTTAGCCATTTGACAATCGCATGTTATTTCACAAGTGAGGATACAGAACTGGTGAATAAAACCCTGACAGCTACAATGTTCCCATTGGAAGAGAAAAAGACGGGAGAAGATATCGGACAGGAGATACTGAAGCTACTGATGACAAAGTTTGGCCTTGAGGCCTCCTCTCTCAGCAAAATTGTCTGGGTGACCGATGAGGGGGCAAACATTAGATTAGCTCTGCGGCCATAGCAGAGGCTGGACTGCATTGACCGTCATTAATACAGCACTGCGCCATGGATCCGACGTTGCAGAGTTATCCAAAGCCGACGGTGCTCCGGACATAGGAGACAGCATTTCTGCTGCTAAATCGTTAGTGAGGTACGTTAAACAGTCGGGGTGGCTGTGCAACTGGCAACAACATTGCTGCAAATGGGAGACACTCGGTTCAGTACGGTGCACCTCACACTGACTTCTATACAGGCCACTTATCATGAGCGCCATGAAAAGCTGGAGGGATGAGGGGAGGGTGTGTGCATTATATAATAGCACCGGACACACTGGGCTTCTTGATAGACTTTCTGAAGCCAAGTATCCAACCCTTAATCGTGTCTCTGGTGTGAGAAACTGAAACGCCAGTCAGCTCGATGCCCTGGACTCCCCTCAGCAAGCTGTCGTGTGTAAACGGCAGGAAGACTGACTCACGTGTAAAGTGATGATACAGGACCTCCACAGGATCACAACATTCCTCTGGCCAAAATGTAACCAGCTGAGAATGTCGTCACACTCAGACAGGAATGCCGTACGTGCTCATGCCCGCACTCATGCCCGCACTCTTGCCCGCACTCTTGCCCGCACTCATTCCCGCACTCATTCCCGCACTCATTCCCGCACTCTTGCCCGCACTCATTCCCGCACTCTTGCCCGCACTCTTGCCCGCACTCATGCCCGCACTCTTGCCCGCACTCTTGCCCGCACTCTTGCCCGCACTCATGCCCGCACTCATGTCCCGCACCCAGCTACATGGGCACCAGATGTGGAGTGTCGAGACCCAGAGCTCTCCGGAGTCGAACCCACTCCTCCGGCAAAAAGAGCGGATTTTTGCGGAGTGGGAAAATATACAGCAAGCTGACTGGGAAGATGACGAGGTCACTTGCTACATTGAAACGGCTGCCATGGAAAATGAAATGGATGTTCTTGGCTGGTGGAAGATAAACAAACCATCCTTGCAGAATTAGCCAGATCAGTACTATGCATCCCGGCCAGTAGCGGCAGCAGTGAAATGGTGTTCAGTGGTGCTGGACGCACCATCAGTGAGCGCAGGACCACACTGAAGCCATCTACAGTGGATTCAGTAATTTTCCTCCACAAAAACATGTAGCCTAATCTTGGTGAGTAAAGGTTTTTCAAATTATAACTAAATATTAATCCAATCTTAAATACATAATGTAGACAGAGTATATAGGCTAATGTTGGCATTATTCTTTTATTCAATTTCAGTCGCGTTGAGGCCGGATTGTGGAGAGAAGCAAATCCCGCGGAGTCTCCCTCATCAAGACGTCACTCACCGCGGTAGGAGCTGAGACAACAGAAAAGACCCAAAGAGTGCCTTAGTCTAAACCTTGTAATCTCTCCGTTGAAAGGAGTGACATCAGACACCATTGAGAGGAGCTGATCCACCACAACAACAGCTACTCCCGGAGTACGGCAGCCATCAGGGCGACCAGACCAATAATAGGTGTATCCACCTACAGAGATCTGGCTACTCCCTGGTCTGCATACCTCAGAAAGTGCCACCACAAACATGCAGAGTTTACGAGAAGGAGGAAGGTCATCATGCCATGAGCCTACAGAGATGGGTCACCTCAGATCAGGACCCGAGTGCTGCTATACAGAGGGTGACGCCTCAGCACCACTTTCACTCCCCAACAGGCCTGAACCCCATTGGCTCTCCTGTGGTTTCATCTCTTCCAGGATGAGGCTCCAAAGCTCTTTCCTCCATCCCCTTCATAATGCATGCAACCTTCCTATGGGCAGCTGCAGCAGAGCTACTCCTGCAGAGAGCAGAAAAGTGTCCTGTCTGCTGTCTCAGAGGTGTGTGGAGTTTTTATGGAGGCTGGAGGGTCAATCCTACCACCAACCCCCAGATTATTACCTGCAGGGAGGAACGCTTGATGGTTTGGATGCAGTTTAATGTCAAACCCAGGAAAGTCATTGTTATCACAGTCAACTTGATAATTAAATGAGATGCTTACAAATTACAGCATTCAGCTGCTTTGAATTTACACGGATGTCCTGAAGTGTAATAGCAATGCAGCATAGTAAGTAGTAATTTACTGTTATCAGTTAAGCCTCCATTCCATCAGGTCAAGTCTGTTCACGCTCTGTGTTCGAATTCCTGCACACCTGATGGACTTGTTAGACCAGCTTGTCTGTATCTGCACTTTGTTTTCAGTAACCTCTCCTTAACTTTGGGCATTTCTCTGCCTCATACAGCTTTCATTTTCAGTTTTCCAGTCCTGCATCACATGCCTTCTTACTAGTCACAGCACTAGTTCTTTTGCTGTCCATATTTTGATTTGCTTCGTAATGCCCCCTTCATGTGACCTATAGAGCAAGACAATATGAAGTGTGTTTATGAGAGCCCACCTAGTGAAGAAAATGTAATGTTATGCCCTATAAGGTGCCCTAACAATGGATAATGGGGGCATTATGAATTGCCCATCTAGTGGAAGAACTGTGGCTGTCTGAGGTGCCCTTGTAATGCAGAGGAGAATTTCTCTGATGGGTGGGTGTCTGTCTGTCTGTCTATCTGTCTATCTATCTATCTATCTATCTATCTATCCGTCCCTCTGTCCATCCACTGCACTGTTCCACCCTCCTTTCACGCTGTCATGTGCTCTGTCACGCCCCATAACTACAAAAAAGCAAGTTGCTACATCTTCATAACCAGGAATTTCTCTCTCCAGAGCCAGTATCATTCTCTTGTCTGCCTTCCCATACGGTTCTGACTCAAGGTAAGACGGAGAATATTTTAACAAAATGCTATTAATTACTTTAGTAGCACTTTATGATTTTTAATTCTGGGACTAGAAGTGTGACATGCTGAAGACCAAAGTAAAAATAATGTTAAAAAAAAAAATTATTTAAATCACTTTCATTAGCCACATAAGAATGATACTATTAGCCATAACTATCTTTGCGTGTCTCAGTGTTCCTCTGTAAGCTGTTCTGTACAGGAATTCTCACTTACACAGTACTTTGTTACATTGGTTACTAAATAGATCAATGTGATAATAGTAATAAACTCCGGGCTCATTTTCCTTGATGTACGTGTTACACAGACTTACTTCCTGTTCCTGTTCCTGTTCCTTGCTGGACCTGTCTGACCAGCCTCACCGCAGAGTATAAAATGGAAACGTATCCATTCATTTTCTTATTTTATGAGTAATTAAACTCTAAATTAAAATTTAAAAATTAATTTTACATCATATGTTTTGAATTTCCCTAACACAAGAGAGAAAAAGCCTCCAAACTTTTACTTATACACTTTAAAAAATTACTTAAATTTTAAATTTACAAAAACGAGTTACCTGGCTACCTCAAAAAATATGAGTTGTTTCAAAAAGATGTTTTGAGTATAAAGAACATGAGATAAAAATATAAATAAAAATTTCTCAACGAAGGCAACATTAACACAGCAAGCCCAGGTGCTCAATTCTGATTTTCTGCTCAGATCCTATTTTTTTGCCTGTTCACATTATTTTCTAAAATGCAGCCAGTATCAGATTCCAGTGTGAACTGGCCACAGTCTTGCAATGACCTGCATCAGTGCATGCGCAGAACAGTAACATGCAGCCGGTTTTTAGTGGAGCAGCAGCTGCTAGCTCTGTACGGGGTATGTGTGTGAATGCGGAATCTGAGGCAGGAGTACAGTGTCAAAAATCATTTTCAATTTAAGTTGTTTCAGTGTACAGGCGCTCTTCTATTTACGAATGTTCAACTTCCGTGGCCATTTTGGACAGTCCGTGAGCGATGAGCTCCACTTACATGCTCTGGTCAAAAGTATGCATTTTGTGAATGAATAACCGTCCCATGTACTGAATGCGAACAGCTGACAGCCCCTCAACACGCCACTTGCGCTAGCTGTCTGTCTGTCAGCAGACCCTCTTAGTGACCAAATCAAAAATGAAACTGGAGCAAAACTAGTAAACCCGGCTAATACTGATATAATTGCACTGGAGTCTGTATTTGTGCTGAACAGTGCCGATGAGCTAAACGTATCATGCTGATCACTTTCTGTTCTGCCGCATTAACAGCAAAAACTGTATATTCAGCAACGTGAGGCGAAACAAAGAACGTTTTATATTTTACCGTGCAAGTTATTAGCTTTCTATTAAAACGTAGGCTATGTAGTTATTAATTTATTTGTAATAAGGAATTTATAGAGAACTGTCATAGAAACAGTATGGATGGCATCAATAACTTAGCTGGCTTATATTTTTATATATTTTTACCGGATGTACGTGGCACAGCCATTCTAGATATCTGACAGGGAAACATACTGGCGGAAGGCGCGTCATTTATCCTATTAAGAATTCAATTTCGGATATCCAGAATGTTAATTCTGGATATCCGAAATTGAATTGTGGATATCTGAAATTGAAAGCCCAATAGACATGAATGGCAAAAGTGACGTAAATTCTCCTAGGAAGAATGACATTGTGGACATCTGCAATACATATCCAGTTTAAAATTTTCTACATGAAGTGCAGGGAGACTATCAATTAATGGGTATGATTTAGTGTTGTTCTGTGCTATATAGTATAGGCTGACCTGCGGTTATCATTAAAAACAAAATGCGGTAATCGTAAAACAAACTTTAATTTGGGTACGACAATGAATATTAACAGGAATGTTAAATCTGCATTTGCATAATTTCAAACTTATGCTGGACTTTTATTTTTTAATTGATTGCTCAAGGGAGTTGTATTTCAAATAAAGTTTGAATCTGAACCTGTGTACTTTTTTAAAGTAATAATGTTCCTATCTAGAAAAGGGGGCCCTGCAGAGAAAGTTTAGGAATCACTGATCTAAGTGATGAGCCTAAATTTTGTGTTGATGCTTCTAAAATTTTCAGTAAGGAGCCCCAGTGCTGCTAGTGGAGAAAGTCAGTCTGCAGCCCGGACATGAAATGTGTCAGAGTAACAGAATGGAGACCCAGTGCGCTGATTCAATGTAAAAGTGCTGAGTACTAGATATTGTTTATCTATGTATCTATTTACCCTTCATGTTCACAGAGGCCTCAGCAGGAATTATCTGGTCTGGATCGGCACAAAAATGGAGGAAGCTGCTTCTGAAATGCGCCCCCCTGTGGAGTGTAAGAGGAAGAGCACTGAGAGGTAACAGTGTTACAGCCACTAGCATGCATGTCTCTCTGGGTCTATAGTCAGGCCATAACATAAAGTAAACTGGGCTCCTAGCTAGGGCTGGCTCAGTGGGCAGCACTGTAATATGTGTAGCTTAATAAAAAGACCTCGCCATCTTCTTTCGTCTCCTTTTCCTTGCACAATCAGCCAGTTA